ACAGTGGATATGGGCAGATCTCAACTGAAAGTTCCCCTAAAACTGAAAATAACACAAACAACATTACCGAGTGGACCCCAATTAAGGAATGTGACGAGGTGGGGTCTTCTGGCCACACGTGCATGGCAGCCCTCCCCCTCTCAGATCAGCGACTCTCCTTCCATTCCTGCTCAACAAGGGGCTTCAGTGGCTGAGAGGCCCTGGGGTTCAGCCCCTGTTTGTCAGGACAGGCAGGGAGACCTCGGGGAGGGTCCTGGGGCCCTGGTGCTCATCTCCGGGGTAAGAGGCTGTTGGACTGACCAGCACCTGGGCAGGTGGGACCCTTCTCTTCTACCTCAGAAGGAAAGACACTCCATCTGCCCCAGAGCACATCTGGGGTGTTGGAGGAGGATGAAGGCAGAGGGGAGGGGGCTCACATCCTCTGCCTGGGCTCAGGAAGTGGGCTGGCTGCAGGGGTCATGTGGAAGGAGAAGGTCACTGTCAGCAGAGTGGAGAGGTGGCCTCCGTCCGCCCTGTGCTCCTCCCCAGCCGCCTGCACAGCCTCACCCCAGGGTGTCTGCTTCCTTCCCACCTTCCCATCTGCTCGATTCCCTCAGCTTTCCAGGAACATGGCGTTATGAAACCAGTGGTCTCTTGAAGTCAGTCCGGGATTCTCCTCATTTCCTAAGCTCCTCTGCACATCTGAATGGACCAAATCTCCACTGGTCAGGCCCCAGGAGTTGACCAGCTCAGCAAGCTGACAATCCACACCAGCTTCAGTGGCTGGTGTCAAAACGAAATCCTCAGATCATCCCAAACCTACGAAGAAGACGGGAACCATATGCTACGAAGAACAAAGGTCTGGCTGGGAAGAGTCTAGAAGGAGCCTCCGGTCTGGGCGAGAGAACCGCACCACCCAGCTGCTGCCCCCATGGACACAGAGCTGCACGGAATCCCGGACAGCCCCCCGCTCCGCCCGCCTCCTGCTGCGGGACCCCCTGGGTGCCGTCCGCCGCTGAGGGAGGTGCTCCCAGCCCTGGCTCGGGGTGGCGGGACTCCCTGGGCTCCGCCGTCACTTGTTTTTTTAGATCGGTTGTGTATTTGCTTGCCCATGGCTTACTTGAAAGGCTAGAAGAACAATGGTAACACAATCAGGACTAGATATTGAAAGATCTCAGACTCGTGTCTCAGACATATTTTTTAGAGACAACATACTATAAAAGCTAGTGCTGCTAATTATAATGTCGTAATCCCCCGAGTTCTATGCACATCAAATTGTAGTCATGAAGGTGGAGAAGAAACCCTACATGATTTTTGTTTATGATATTTTTTTGGTTTCCTAATGGTAACTGTTGAGGATAAATTGTTTAAAACAGTCTGACTCAAGGGAGGTAAAATTCACACCCACAGCATTTCAGAAAGTTCATGGAGACACCAAAAGGGCACGTGGGCCAGTCCACTGCGCAGCCTCTGCCTGCTGGGCCCGTGCCTCCCCTGCAGGGCTAGACATCGGGGCCGGCGCCGACCGGCCAGTGCTCCATCTGGTGTCTGTTACCCCCACTTTGCAGGGGGCAGACTGAAAACAGAAAACCGCGGAAAGAAAACTGAGGTTCTTCGGTCTCCTCCCCAAACTCTTTCTAAGTGCGGTCTTTTCCTTAGCATGTGAACCTACGCTTTTTCATCACGTACACATTCTCCCTGGTAGAACGTTGGTCATGTGAAGAACGGGTCCTGCTGAGTCCTGAAGTTCTCGCATATTCCGTCTGCGGACTGTCGGTGCCCCAGGGTTAGCCCCAGACCAGCACAGAGAAGTCTGGCCCATGCTTCATGCCCACTTCCACATGTGACCCGTTGCATTACGAGCCTCAGCACAACAGAAGCAGGAGGGTAAATTGCCTGAAAACCCACAACCAAACATAGAATTCTAGGTGCTCACCGTACCTGATTCTGAACCCTGGAGGAGGCTGGTGCAGGGTGGCTGTTTAGGGCCTCCATCAGCCCACATCATGAAGAGCTGACTTTATTTCACATAGGTTTTCAAATAGTTAAAGGCCAGTGACTTGAGAAGTTCCAATAACCTGCAAGAAGCTCTGGCCACTGGCACCATCCTACCCGCCATTCCCAGCTTTACCGGGGCAGCCACAGGGCCACAGGCGGCGCTGAGCACGGGGACCTGGAGAGGAGCCACATCTTGCAGTAGGCTGTGTAGCCAGGTGCTGACATGGTTCCCCGCCTGTCCCCCGACGGGCTCCTGTCCCCTGGCACCACTCGGTGGGCGCTGCCTCCACGAGAAGCCCAGCCAGCGTGCGTGCAGAGTGCTTTCCCATGCAGGGTCTTTACCTGGCACATCCTCGCGATCCCGGTACGTGGTCTCCAAGAGGGGCCGGGCCTCCGGTGCCTGCAGCTCCGCCCACGTAGTGAGCGGCAGAGGAGGGAGCTGGACCAGCTCGAGTTCTTACATTCCACGTCCATCTTCGCTCTGATGTGCCTTCAACAGCAGTGAGTAAAATCGGCTCTTGCTGAGCCCGCTGTCACTGCCCAAACCTGGGAGGCCCGTCGGAGGCTGCCCTCCCGGCTCCCCCGCGGCTTCCCGGCCTCCTTGTGCGTGGCAGCGAGCCTGCGGCTGGTGCACCACGGCTGCTCACCTCCATGCGCGTGGGTGGCTCAGGAATGGAGTGAGAGAGGGACAAGTGCCCAGTGACCAGAAAGGCGAGGCATGCTCCTTCGCTGGGTGGCGCGGAGAGGGCGTGGGGGCTCTTACAAGCTCAGAAACACAGAGAAAACCTGTCCCGTTTGGGACAAATGAACTGAAGATAACCCTAGGATTTAGAATGTGGAGAATTAACCAAAATTATCTAAAACTAAAATGTGGTAGGGAGGTGAAGAGCTTCACGCACGGGGGATCACTGCCGCGTTCCGCCTCTCTCACGGTTTTAGAAGGAGCCAGGAGGTGACATGGGCGTTCCGTTTCCTGTTCACGCCTCCATCCATCTCCTCCTTCCCGAGCTCTCCAGGATGATAAGACGTGTTTCTCAAGAGGAAGTTAAGAGAAAGTCATAAAAATAATACATGTCCCCTGATGGGGTCTCTTCTTTGACGCATCTTGGAAAACGCCCTCAGCTGTTGCTCGTACTTCCGTGTTTTCAAGCGTATGTATAGATTCATGTCGTGGCTGGGTCCTTGCAGGCACAGGGGCGCTGGCCTCAGAGTCACCGTCAGGGTGCAGCGGGGGCTGGCCGGCCCCCCGGGACTGCTCCTCTAGTCACAGCCCATGAGCATAAAAGTCAAAGTGTGTAAACTGAGAGGAGAATATAACTTTTATATTTTCAAGAATTCAGTAGAACAGAATTGCCCTCAACTCTTGCAACCTCGACCCCTCGGCCAAGGGCACAGTCTGCCTCCCACTCATACTTCCTGCGTGTTTCTGACTGTGCTCACTCGGTCGGGTTTCTTTCCTCTTACTGCTCTTGGGGAATACATGTATCTTTATACTAAAGAAAAGGATGTATAGGAATTATCCAGAAAAGAGACAATATTTGTTTCATACAACTAGCGAAGCTCTATGACTAACATACGGCAAGCTTGACTTGCCGATACTTAGAAAGATGTGTTAGATTTTAAAAAACGTGTTGCTTCGCTATGTGGGCCAGCCAAAATTGTTATGATGTGTTGGTGCCCAAACCTCATTCACCAGCCAACGCCTCTTCTGAGGGAACAGCGTGAAATCCATCACGGAGGCCCCGGGGACACCCCGACTCAGCTGTTAGCGAACAGGTACTTGGTGCTAATCAATACACCTCATTTCTTCAGTGCATTGATAAACCAGAGCAATTCTTCTTCGGTGTTTTAATCGCAGAAACGAAGGCGGATGTGACAGTGGCATGAGGTTAACTAAACCCAGTCTAAGGGCTGGGGGAGGGGGCTCTCGGAGCCCCCCCGATAGTACCTGCATTTGCAAAATCCACACCAGCAATCTTTCAGCACAGCGGAGAGAGACGCACCTCCCACGTATTTCCTGAGCCTTAAACAGGATACACTTCGGGCCAAACATAGGGGCTTTGTGTAATTTTTAGCATGGTGTTGCTTCAGCAAGTTGTCCTAAATCCTTTTTTGTGATTGGACATAATACTCATTCATACAGTATTTCTACCAGCCCACCAACATCTTCCTGAGGCTGGGAGGCGGGCGAATGCCGGGGTGCCGTGGTCCCATTAACCGCAGCAGCGAACGGCCCGCAGGTGCACCACTGGCCCCAGGCCTGCACTTTACTGGCATTGGGTCACCACACCGTCTTCTCTCCCTCTCTCTCCAACCTGTAAATGCATGCAGGAACCACCGTTAATTAGCTTTAGTTTCTAAACTTTTACTACGCTTTCCTGTTGCTTCACTGTGCATCATAATAAATTGCCTGTAAGGTAGAACATTCCAAGTAGCTTAATCCGGTCCAAACATGTGCTTCTGATGCTGAACACCCAGGGTAGGTGATGGCGTCGCTGCATGAGCCCGAGGCCTTCCACTGCGGTGCCTGAGCATCCCTGCGAAAGCACACAATTTAAAAGCAATTTCTGCGAACATCTGTTTAAGAGTTGGTATCGAGTAAAGTTCATGAACTCTTAGAAAGCCTGGTAATATGATGAGTGTAATTATCACGCATCTGCTTGGGCTGCAAATCAATAAAGCCAATGAAAAAATAAAAGCCACGCGTAAAATTTAGAACGAAAAATTAATATTTTAAAATTACATTTCCCACATATACTGGTGTGTTTTAAGAATAATTAAGGAAATCAATAGTTTCTAGCAAGTGCTTCCTGTGGCCTCCCAGTTTTAGTGCCCTCTGCGCCCCTTTGTGCCACACTGTCTGCCGATTCGCACGCGGGACCTAAGTCTCTAGTACATGGTGAGCAGGGTTTGACGTGCAATTGACTTGCTTTCCATGCTGTTGCAACTAAACTTCAAGTTCTAGCCATTTTTTCCTTTTCTTTTCTTTTTTGTCCCTTTTTTTTTTATCTTCTTTGCAGAAGACCATCAAATGAGCTGTCACAATACTCGAATAATGCAAGACGCGGAGAAGGACGACAACAACAACGAGGAGTATGACAATTACGATGAGCTGGTGGCCAAGTCCTTGTTGAACCTCGGCAAGATAGCCGAGGACGCGGCCTACCGGGCCAGGACGGAGTCGGAGATGAACAGCAACACCTCCACCAGCCTGGAGGACGGCAGCGACCGGAACGAGACCCTGGGCCGGAAGAGCGAGCTGAGCCTGGACCTGGACAGCGACGTCGTGAGAGAGACGGTGGACTCCCTGAAGCTGCTGGCCCAAGGACACGGGGTGGTGCTCTCGGAGAACCTCAACGACAGAGCGTACGCAGACTCTCTGTCGCAGCAGGACGGCAGGAACATGAACTACGTGATGCTGGGGAAGCCCATGAACAACGGGCTCATGGACAAGATGGTGGAGGAGAGCGACGAGGAGGTGTGTCTGAGCAGCCTGGAGTGCCTGAGGAATCAGTGCTTCGATCTGGCCCGGAAACTGAGTGAGACGAACCCGCAGGACAGGACCCAGCCGCAGAACATGAACATCCGTCAGCACGCCCGGCAAGAGGACGACTTCGCGGGGAGGACGCCGGACAGGAACTACTCCGACATGATGAACCTGATGCGGCTCGAGGAGCAGCTGAGCCCCAGGTCTAGAACTTTCTCCAGCTGTGCAAAGGAGGACGGGTATCACGAACGAGACGACGACGCCACCTCCGTGAACTCAGACAGGTCTGAGGAGGTGTTTGACATGACCAAGGGAAACCTGACCCTCCTGGAGAAAGCCATTGCTCTGGAAACAGAGAGAGCGAAGGCCATGAGGGACAAGATGGCGATGGAGGCCGGAAGGCGGGACAATGTGCGGTCGTACGAGGAGCAGTCACCAAGACAGCTTCCCGGGGAGGAGAGGAAGCCTAAGTCCAGTGACAGCCATGTCAAAAAGCCATACTATGGTAAAGGTAATATTTCTACCTAACGTAAGTTGCCCCATGAGGACAGGAGCTAGGGTGAACGATGCCGATGATAGTCTACACATGACGTGGGCATCACACTAAGTCACTAATGCAAATCTCTTAGAGCTGGTTATAGAATCACAGTCTGTGTTTCTGGAGAGCCAATAAAGTATTTGTCTGGGAAAGGCACAAAGCATCTCAATGTCCTATGATCAGAGCAGATGAGGAACATGATATCTCAGCAGGAGACGCTTGCCTTGGAAAGATAGGGCTAGTGCGCAAACATGTCATGTGATAGAAAACACTAGAATGAGCCTGTGTTCTTACAGATGAACCACAGTCCGTGTGGAAGGGCAAGGGCTTGCACAAAAATTAGCCAATCAGGGATGAAACACATATTTTATGTATTAGATTGGGTAGGTGGCATCATGATTTATAAAATTATCACCAAATGACAGTTATTGATGAAACCCCCCCCACAGAAAACATCCCTGATAGAAATTGAACAGTAACAGAATGACCGATAACATAAGACAAGGGCAATGACTGCACATTAATTATCCTAAGATAGTAAGTAATGGGAGCCATTTGCTATGCAAGCCATGGTGTGTCCTAAGCTGAGATCAATAGTAATTTCTTTACTATATTCATTCCTACTCACTGATTCCATTCCATTTTGGAAACAGTTATGGCGCCTACTTTATGTTAAAATACTCAGAACCATCCAACATGAGACTTCTAGCAGATTCTCATTTATGAAATGCAGGGGCCCATATTTGCATCTGTGTTTGTATTTCAACATACACATATATGGTCAGTACATCTACGAAGTGTATGAACATACACTGAGTGAATGACTGGCCCCATGTTTGCAATAAGAACCGTGTCCACTTGTGATACGAGCTGGTTATGATTTAACCCCGTGTGGAAACTTGAGGCTGTGGTTAGCTCGGTTACAAGAACTACATCAGAAGGAGTTTCAAAAATGAAATTAGTAATTCCTTAAATCCTCCCATATTAGTACCAAAAAAGATCTTCTGTCTTACATTGTTTTCTATTCCTTATAAAGACTTGAGTTTCCTCACTGTGGATCTGATGATGAGGTTCAGGAATTTGGTTTGAAAATCAGTTGCTATGGAAACCTCGAACAATCAGAGAACCTGTTTCTTCTGTTACGACCGAGGTGTGTAGTCTCCTCTCAATGTGTGCACTTGCTATAACCAAGCCCAGCAGAGACAAACCTCAGCCAGAGGCCCGTCGGGGTCTCGATCTGCAGGGGCCTGAGCGCTGACCGCCGTTTCGGACGGGAGGTGAAGGGAGACCCCTGGGAGGAGCGGCATAGAGGAAGGGGTCATTTCCTAAAGGCGACAGGGTCTAGCCCAGCGGAGCATCAGGCTTGCTTTGGGTGCAGTGGAGATGATGAAACAGCATGGATGCTCATAACTGTCGTGCAATCTGGCAGAACGCTTTAGCTGGATAGTTGAGAATCCTATAGGAACAAACATTTTTAGGAAGAAATAGTGTCCTTTCTCACGGGTGGCTCAGTTGGACAAATCCACGTTGGGCTTCCGTGTTAGAGGTCCGTAGGGCGGGTTTCACGGTGGAGCGGGCATCGGGGAATGCAGCAAGGGCCTTGGGGAGCGTGTGGGCTCGCTTGGCATCGCAGACGCCATGCCGCCCTGGCTTCTTGCCTTCCGTGCTTCCCTTACGCCCAGCAGCTTTCTGTAGATTCCTACTCATTTTGCTTTGTTATTGCTATTTGGTTTTATTTTGTTTCTTGCAAGGAATGGAATTCAAACCGCTTGCTTCCCTTCAGTAAATGGGGCAGGGGTAGAAACGAACAGCAAAACCTGAGATGCGCTTTTCCCTGAAATGGGGGGAGGGCTGAGGTGTGGACCTTCCAAATGAGTCAGGAAGCATTGACTCCTGCCTCTGCGAGTCTCTGTAGATTTCTTCCTCTGAGCAAAGCTCCTCCATTTCATATGCGTGCTCCAGCTCATTCCCAGGTTCTTCTCAGGATATCCGTAGGTTTGTTCAGAACCAATTAAATAAAACCAAGCAGGGACACCAGAGTGGGCCAAGGAGACAAATGCCATCCTTATTTAAAAAAAAAAAAAAAATACATCCTGTGACTTTTCACCAACACGGCCAATGGACAATTCCTACAACCTCATAGCATACCAATAATCTTCATTTCGAGCTTCGTTGTTACTTTATTGTACCAATTCTCATTTGTACATGATCTCCTCAAAATGATTTAAATTATAAATGAGTAACCTTTCCAAAATCTTGAGCTAAGACAAAAGACGTCCATCAGGAAACTCCTCTATCTTTCTTCTCAAACATCCACTTGGAAGGGAGGGGAGCAAGCTAAATTCAGTGCACAGTTTTTTTTTCTAGACATTCTTGCAGGGTTTTCAGTTGAATTACTGGTCTGTTTGCTTGCTTGGTTGCTTTCTGTTTGCTTGAATGTTTACCTTCAAGATGAATTGGGATTTCCGGAACCCAGCATGCAAGGGGAGGGGATGGCGGAGGCAAGCGGCATCGAGAGGAGATTATACCCTTGTGTCCTCCAGAACTGAAATTGTTTGAGCCACTTGTTTCTATACAGATCTGCACTTAACTTCAGAACCCTTTGGAAATCTGCGATATAATATAACTTGTTAGGAAATTTGTAAGTGTACTAATGAAGAAGAGTCACTTGATGATTAATAGTTACGATTTAGGGTTTTGTTTTGTTTTTTACCTTTTAAACGCTATTTACATTTAGCTTATAATCTTCAATAATGAATATTTTCCTGTGAAACTGTTACTTACTATTTTATATTTACATTAATTAAATCATACTAATATTATCATGAAACTACCCAAAAGGCAATAAAATGCTAGGCTTTTTGATTGCATGTGTAAGAGAAGCCCCAGTAAGATATTTAGAAATGAAAGCTGCAACAACAGAATATCAGGTTGTCTTTGGAGACTCTTAGAGCTGTATCCAGGGTATGCGCCTCAAGCAGGGCACTAATTCACAGACCCAGGACCTGAAAGATGAATTACCTAGAATAAAATCCTAGCTAAAAAAAAAAAGAAAGGGGGGTGAGTTTTTTTATATAAACATAAAATTGCTTATCTATTCCTGTGAGCCCTTTGTCTATTTCAAGCTCACAGGCAAGATTTAAGAAGAAAGTCCATAAGAGTCCAAAAACTTGAACCAAACATACATTTTCTCACTGTCACGATTGGCCTGGGTAATGAGACATCGATAGGAGAGTGTTACACCCCTAAGGAAACGTTAACCTCACCCTCCCTGGACCAAACCAGCGTAGTCACTGTCTGTTGATGATGAGTGCAACTGGTTTTCAAAAACTGACTCAAAAATAATTTTTTGCCCACTTTCATTACTACTCAGTCTGAGCTTTATCTTAGAAATATCTTCTGGGGCTATTTTCTGCACACTGATGAACTGTGGTCAGTTCTGGATATAGAAATAATTTTACCAACAATAGCATTGCATTTCTGGCATTTGGCATTCAGGTGTTGACCAAAGGTCTGCTCTGCTCCTTCCTCGACTGGGGTTGCAGAGAGCCAACCGGGGTGTATAAAACCATTACCTCTTGATTTTGTGTATGCATGCACAGCATCGTAAGATCCTTCCTCTGCTTCCAAGTACAGATGAAGAAATCGAGACAAACGGTTGCTCCAGCAGCTTCTGAAACTTTTTTTTTTTTTTAATTGCCCATCTCCCCTGTCGGGTGGGATTTTCACCATTCTGGTCATTTGCTTACAGTGCCTTCTAAGAGTTCAGCTTATTTTCAGAAAATCTCTGAATCGGTGGGCTGTGGAGCAGTGTCGCAAGATGACAACCTCCAACAGCAGTAAAATTTTGCACCTAAGAGTGTAAACGATTCGAGCACCCAATGGGACAGAAACTGTCGAATGGCAGGGGGTTCGAACAGCATCATGCTCCCTGGTTGAATTTCACAGAGTGAATGTTGAAGATCGTCGAGTGGTCTGGCTCTCTGAGAAGGTCACTGTCTCATCATTATTTACGTTGATTTCTTTGAGCAACACAGCTTATCATGTAACACACGGGAAAATAATTAATCATGAGCTAAGGCAGGGAGAGTCTTTTTTTTTCTCCTACCAGCAAAGAAAGTAAAATATTTTATGATTCATGATTACGATGTTTAAGGTCAAAAAGTTACCCAAAACCAAAGAAGTACCTACGCAAGTCTATGTCACAGCCTGTCCCCTGACACCTGCTTTTTTTCTTTATTTATCAAGGTCTCTTCAGGTTGTTAATTAATCACCTTTGTCTTGGATGGGTAAAAAATTCATTCTCTTGACACCTGTTGTCGCTTTTAGATCCCTCGAGAGCAGAAAAGAAAGAGAGCAAGTGTCCCACCCCGGGGTGTGATGGAACCGGCCACGTAACCGGGCTTTATCCACATCACCGCAGTCTGTCCGGATGCCCGCACAAAGATAGGGTCCCTCCGGAAAGTAAGTCCGTGTTCTGCCAATGCCCGTGGGGGCCCGCACGCCCACGGCCCTGTCTGTGTCAGCCACGTGCCTCTGTCATTCCACGTCAGTGCAACCCAACCTTGAACCTCATCTCCCCGCCCCTCCTCGTCCTGAGCAGCCTGCTCGGGCTGCCCACGCCACTCCCGCCCGATGGCCTGGGACGGCAGCCCGCCCCCCAGCGCTGCTTCCTGCAGCGGACAGGCTGGGGCTCCGTTCCCGCTTTCATTTCTGACCTGTTGGGGACCTCGGGCAAGTCACTCGTCCCCTCATCTCTCACAAATCATACAAGAGACCTCAGAGGGTCTCTACCCGCCCCTGCAGAGCTGAACTCCCATGAATCCCCGAGAGAAAGGTCCTTGAGCCTCCTCTTGCCCAGTGATCTAGACTTCTGTATGGATGAGCTGCTACCTGTAGTTGTATTTGATCCCATTTCGCTTGCAAAGTCTGCTTCATGTCACGGCTGTCCCAACATTTCCACACAAACAAACCTTAGTTTAAATCGGGTGGGTCTAGATCAAAAGCATTCCTTTGGTTAGGTTCTGAGAATATATGATTTATTATGAACACAACCACATTTATTTTGAAAATGAAATGACGTACACGTCTTTTATTTATCTTTTTCTCAGCACATAAAGTTTGCCAGCTATTTAGATACAATTAGTATTGATTGCTCAGGGGAAAAGGCACATTTTCAGAAATGACAAGATGAGTCTAAGGTCTTGATTTTGAGCCTAAGGTATGTCGAGGATTTTCCTCGTGAACTGAGTCACAATTTCTAGTAGGCAAAAAGGAATAGCTTGGCTGAGATGGTCAGGATGACCAGGTGATTGTTGAGAGGAGTTTCGGAGGGTTGTCCCACCAAAATGGCTAACTTTGGAGTTCTTGAGGCGCAAATCTGTCAGAAAAAGAGAGGTTCCTTGCGGTAGCTGAGGCTTCGAAACAGGTTTAGCTGAACATTTTCAGATGAAGTATTTTTAGAAGCTGTCGTGCCGCCAGGTTTTCGAATGGCTACTGAAGATAAGAAACCCGTGTTTCTGGTAACTGCCGTGTGAACAGGCGTGCAGAGTACGGAGGGGAACGCATCTGAGTGCATGGCCGTGCCCGTGTGTTACATGAGCGGGAGCCAGCATGGTCCGAATGCAACAGCTTCCGCATCTGAGCGCCGGCCGCTCCGCCTTCACCGGCCTGCACAGCCTCCCTCACTCCCCAGCGGGCCCAGCGGGGCACCCCCGGCCCCGGTTCCCCCACAAGGAAAGCGGGGAGCAGAAGGCCTCACCCCCTCCTCCCTGGGTTTAGCTCGGTGCCTGGCGAACTGAAGACGCTCCACGTCTGCCAACCACTGTGGGCAGGTACCGGCTTGCCCGAGCGGAGAGCGGAGCCCAGATCTCGGCCCCATCTGCCCGAATCCCGAGCCTGTCCCTTTGCCCTGGGCCCGGCTTGCTGCTCCCGTCTCGGTCGGCACAGGCCGAGACCCTGGGCGCGCCACGGCCGCTCTGTGCCCTGAGGCGTGAGGACCGGCACTGACCTCTTAGGGAGAGCTTCCTGATGCAGTTTCTCTAGAAGGCACACGTTTTCGCCTCCCGAATAGAAAATCCGTTCCTTTCCCTGGCTGAGGAATTCTCCCAACTCCTTATTTTCACAGGAAAAGTCTACATGTAGTAGAAACAGGGGCTGTGCTCCCGCAGACCGGGGGTCAGCCCACACCTGGGCTCACCTTCGCCCAGAAGAGGTGGGAGGTCCACTCAACACCAGTCTTGAGACCAACTTCCAGAGCACCTACAGAAAGCCGTTTCTAAATACTTACATGTAGTTCTTTATAGTACGTAAGAATTTTTTTTTTTAAAGATTTTATTTATTTATTTGACAGAGAGAGATCACAAGTAGGCAGACAGGCAGGCAGAGGGAGAGGGAGAAGCAGGCTCCCTGCTGAGCACAGAGCCCGATGTGGGGCTCGATCCCAGGACCCTGGGATCGTGACCTGAGCTGAAGGCAGATGCTTAACCATCTGAGCCACCCATGTGTCCCAGTACGTAAGAATTTAAAAAGAGAAAAAATTAGAATCCTCAGGGGGCTTTAGATTTTTTTTCCATTTTTTTCTGGGCCAGCCTCCCCCAGTCATCCTTTCTGTCCAGTTGGAGGTGGTCGAGTAGTCAGTTGGTAGCTCGCTGCACTAGAAACCGAGGATGCACCACGGGACAGGATGTGGTTCCGGCCCCCCGAGAGCTCCCAGCGCAGCTGAGAGGGGGCCATGCGCTCAAGACAGAAGGTGACCGCAGTGGGAGGGGCTCCCCGGCCGGTGACTCACACCTGAGACATCAGGCTGCCCACGGGACCCGCAGGCTTCCCTGGGGTGGCAGTGAGCTGGCCCTGAGGGAGAGGAGGGGTCCGCGGCTTGTCCAGGGGCTGTCGTGGTCGTCCACACAGGACACCAGGTGTGTCGGAGGCAGTGGCCAGGGGTGGAAAGTCTGGGAGGAGTTCAAGACGCGCTCCAGACACAGGCGGGCATGAAGGAGGAGAGAGGGAGGGGCAGGAGGTGACGCGGAGAATTCCGCCCGGCAGCCGAAAGGAGGGACTCCGCTGATGGATGTAGCGCGGGAGAAGCAGGCCGCACTAAGGGAGCGCAGGAGGGCCCGGTGGCTCCAGGCTGGCGGGGACTGCCGCGGGCTCCTCAGCAGAGGGGGCTCCCGGGACCTGCTTTCTCGGCACTGCAGCAGAAACCAAGGAGAGGAGGCATAAAGCGAGCGGGAACGGGAGCCGAAAATGGGAGTGTGTAGAATGCGAAGCCGAGGAAGAGGGGGCAGAGCTGTCCTGGAAAGGTCTGGCCCATGCGGGGAGGCCTGAGGAGGAAGTCTGGGGGGACGGACAGCAGAGGCCACTGACAGCTCAGAGAGAGAGAGGGAGGTTGGGACGCACAGGAGCCGCAGATGCAGCAGAGGTTTGAGGACCATGTGGGGCTGAGAGATGGGGGCAGGGCGGGCTCAGCCCGGCCCCCACCGACCTGGCTGGGAAGGAGTGCATCTACACTCACGGGACGGACCGCGGCCATCTGCTTGGGATCCGTGCCACGCTTGGGCACCAAAGGTCTGCCGTCTCCAGGGAAGACTTTGTTTCGAAAAGCATAGCATCAACGGAAAGGAAAGACATATTGATTTGAGAAGGAGGCCGTGTCGTGGGAAGGGTTTATGCGATGCCGCAACAGGAAGATGGGAAAATCGTCCGAAGCAAGAATGACGTAGGTGAATCCAGACCCTGGAGGGGAGAGTGGAGGCCAGGTGGGAGTGCAGAATGAAGCCTCACGTGGGAGACGGGGAGCGAGCAGGCAGGGCCCGGGGCCGGGTCCCCGGGAGGGAGGCCTCCTGACACCCCTCCAGCCAGCCCCCCAACACACAGTGAGCCAAAGGCTGGCTCACCCTCGTTCCACCGGTGCTTACTGAGCATGGACCATATATCAGGAAGACACGGGAGCCACGGAACTAAAGATGAAGCCAGAATGTAGCCGCTCTGTAAGGACCTGGTCAGGAGGGAGGACGGCTCCCGATGGGAATAGCATGTAGACTTCAGGGAAGAGAGAGACTGTTCTAGAGAAGGAGGAAAATCGTAGAGGATTCATAACCAGTTGGGCAGACTTTGTTTCTCATGGTCCTGCTGTGAGGTAAACCTCGCTGGCAGGGAAAGCGCCCCAGGTCTTGCTGCCGCAGTGCAGTCATGTGGGGGCCAGGGCTGGGGTCAGTCCTCATGGCTTCCCACTAGCACCCAGCTCCCCCAGAGCAGCAGGGCTCACTGAGGACCAGGCAGGAGAAGACATGCAAACTGTCCAGGCCTGTCACCGCCCCATGTAAACTCAAACGCTGTCCCCCAGCAACAGGCTGCTCGCCTTGCCTATTCCCATTGTGGCACCCCACCCCACGGGGTCCCCATGCTGACTTCACAGGGTACACAGCATAATACTTACTATTCTAGCTCATCCCACTGGCAGAATAATACAATATTTGATTCCCAGACGAAAAGTCATTATTTAATTCATTCTATTTACAGATTAGGTTTGGGGGTCTCTATTCACCCACGACCACTGTGCCCTCATCATACTCTGTGTTTCCAGAGCACAAGCATGTTTTAAAAATTACCAATCTACGTGCTGTTACATGGCTAAACGATATTCGGGCTGATGTGTGGGAGATGTAGGGGGGCCCTGCTTCCCTGCCCCGTCTGGAGCAAGTCGGCTGCCACGTTCCCGACCTCCGCAGCGCCCCCCATGCACCCTGCTTTGCATGCCAGTGACACTAAGGTTGAGACAACCTTCTCCTTCCTACATGTGTTTCCTGACCATGTCCATCACGAATGTGTGTAGGACTGTCCATCATAAACTAACCCAGCCTTTGTTAAAATGATTGCATATTCTTGTATTCGGACCATTTCTATGTTTTAATGCTGGGCTGTCTTCTCTGCCTCTCCTTGTCAAGTTCTTGCCATGCATGAGAATGTTCTCAAGTGTCCCACTCCGGGCTGCACAGGGCGAGGGCATGTAAATAGCAACAGGAACTCGCACAGAAGGTAAGCAAAGCGCTCCTGTGCCCCATGCCGGTGCGGGGATGGAGGTCCCCTGACAGCCACACCCGTACCTCCTCCGGAGGGAGTGCGCCCCTGCACACCTCCCCTTCCTGCCCCGGGGGACAGGCCGCTCTCTGGCAGCGTATCGTGCATGGGGAAGGCAAATGCTGAGACCCCTTTTTGCAGAGTGGATTTTTTACTTGTCCCACCCACTCATCCCGAGTCCCCCAGAAGGTGCCCTCCTTGGTGTAATACTTAAGATGGATCCCAGCCATCTGCAGGGAACGTTCAGTTCCCGTCCAGGGGTGGGGAGAAGCTGTGCGCATCGTACAGGGAAGGGTTACAACGCACGAAGACTGGATGGCCTGTGACCTAACTAGGTTGCCCCTGAATCTCTGCCGAGACCCCAGTCATCAGCGTGGACATCACCAAAATACTAGCAGCTGCCCAAAAGTTCTAGTTGGGGAGCGTTTAGCATGACCGTGAGCCAGGTAAACAGACATGCTTGGAATCACACTTTTGCTATGGACAAATTCCAGTTCTCTTTCCTTTCCTGTTCTGACTTTCACAAAGCTGCTCATAATACTCAGATCATATCAAATACTTCTTTATCAATAGCCGGAGTGATCTGTTAAAATGTATCTTACAGCCTATTCTTTCAGCCTCAGAAGCTCATGTGAAATTATGGCTAAATGAAGGAAACTATTATGAGTTTCATCTTAATTTATTCCGTCTGGTAAATTTGGTTACTTGTGTTAAATTCATAATGAAACAAATCACAACCCCGTGGCCCTCAGAGATTGTCCTGGGCTTAGTCTGCAGAAGAAGGGAATGATCGGTAGGTTGGCAAAAGGCTGATGCTGAGCGCGTTCAGTGTGGTGTTCACAGCACCAGCTCCCTCGTCAGTCCTCGGCAATGGTGTGTTTGTGAGACATGATGCACATGGGGGGCACGCATCCGTACCTGTGTGTAGCTATCCGTGCAGACCCACGAGGAGCAGACCCCGTGATCTCATGAAGAATAAACGCAAGCACCAGAGAAGCAGTCTGCTCCCTCTCCCGTAAATATTTAGCTCCAAAAAAACACTTCAGAGCGGCCCTAGAGACCATTCTGCTTTCTTCCCAGTTCCACGCCCCTCCCGGGGAGGACGTGGACGAGCTGGTCGGTGGGAAGCCCAAGCCCTACGGTCAGTGGCGCTCCCACAGTCATCTTCTGACACCAGTCGGAGAGCTGCCGTTCCTGGGCTTTTTAGAAGCTCATCCCACCCAGGCGGCTCCATCCTCACCTGCAGAAACATCCTCGAGTGGAATCTGTGTCTACAGTTTCAACTCGCTCGTGTCCTCTTGAATGACCCAGAGTTCGGCTCACAGTTGCTGGAGAGGGTTGAGTGTGCTTTACGCGCGGACGGTCCTCAGCGTCATCCACTGGAGACCGCAGGACATCATGCACACGACAGCCACGATTATTTCTCCCTCTCCTAGCCGTCCCCTCGGGAAAGCCCACAGCAGGTGTGGGAAGCTGCTCTGGGTCTTCTGGTGCCGACCAAGGGAGAGGCGGGGAGGGGGCGACGTGTGCCGAGGAGCTGCTGGTGGAGACGATTAAATCCGCTTTCTGTCCTTGCAGCCTCTCTGGATGCCCTATTGCTGCAGCAGAGAAATTGGCAAAGGCGCAGGAGAAACACCAGAGCTGTGATGTGTCCAAGTCCAACCAGGCCTCAGACCGAGTGCTAAGGTACCAAATGCCGAGCATGTCATGTCATGAGACCCAGCACGCCCGGGCGCCGGGGGCCCCGGGGGAGGCGGGCAGGAACGCCGGTGGTCACTGGTGCAGTTGTAAGAGCCAAGCCCCAGGCCCACCCCTCGCCCGCGGGGTCTGTGTGAGGGCAGGGGGCCACCTGGCCACTCTGGGACTCTGTCCGCCCGCTGTAAGTCTTCAAATGAGAGTAGATGATGTGTTTCTGGTTTTCTTTCTGGCCTGGATGTTATTTTGTGATTCTGTGACTGTTAGATGAAAGAGGGAAGCTCCCACCTTAATGAGATGCCCAAAGTAATTTTATCTTAATTTGGAGGACAGGGCATATTACCAGCCTGCAGCGTGGCACCGCCTCGCAGGACGTACGGAGCTTTTCTCCATGGGGGAGCCCGCCGAGGGGCCGGCTCCTCTGTCCCCAGACACCCCGAGGGGGCACGGAGGAGCTGGGTGCAGGGCGGCTGAGTGACGAACTTGAACCCACTCGGTCACTGTCATGGAAAGACCTCAGAGATCACCTGGTCCAGGCCAGGTTTCAGTTTAGACAGGGAGGATTCTGGGAGGGGTGGAGGGAGAAACCCCCTGTCCCAGATCCCGTCTATCAATTCTCACTTCCCCTTGCCCCCTTCAAACCATCGCTGGAGGAGACGATGGCAGACACACTCCCGGGTCTTCACAGGGTTGTCCTGCAGGTCGCATGGCTGCCCACCTTCGGGGGTGGGGGGGGCGCCCCGATGCAGGAAGCAGGTCGTCGCTCGGAGGTGGGGTCCACATTCCACGGTTACGGAGGGAGCAGCGAGTACAAACACGCACACGTGCACACAGCTTTGCTTCCATTACGTTATTTCTTTAGGATAAATCACTTGGGAAAAAGCACCATTTAAGTGGCATGAACACCTGCTTGGTTTTGTTGTGCATTAGTTTAGTTTTCTGAAGGGATTTTACCAGAGTCACTATGCACCCTTTTGTCCCTCAATGGAAAACTTAAAATCTTTTTTTTTAAAGACTTCATTTATTTATTTGACAGAGAGAGAGAGCTCAAGCAGGGGGAGTGGGAGAGGGGGAAGCAGACTCCCCGCTGAGCAGGGAGCTCGATCCGAGGACCCCGGGATCATGACCTGAGCCAAAGGCAGACGCTTAACCAACTGAGCCACGCAGGTGCCCCGAAAAGTTAAAATCTTTATGGAAAATGAGGCAAAACCAGGAAAATAAAAACCACTTATAACCCTACTATTTAGAGATAAACCCTCAATAAATGTTGGTGTATGTTCTCGGAGATTTTTCTGTGTGGGGGTGCTAGCGGTCTAACATGCCCCCGTGAGCCTGCGGCCCCCACCTCCCAGAAGATAAGGTTAGTTAGTGGCAGGTGGGAGCCCTCCCCCGGGGCTCCGTCCATCTGAGAAGGAATGGCTGTCAGCCAAGAGAACTGAGAACAGGTAGAGAGCAACCGAGGCTTAGGGCTTCTGTCCACGTTTGTCACCTCTAGCCAGACCCCAGAGCTAGAAAGAGCCCTGAGGCCCCATCCTGGGGACCCTCCCGTTGGGCTGAGTAGGCATCACTCGGGAGATGCTTCCCTGGGGGCTGCAGACTGCAAACACCACCCCGTTCAGACACGAGCCTCCACGCCGATGTAGAGCCTGAAGCAACAGCCTTTGACCTTGTTTCTGTGGTTTTGTGGCCAAAACCACAGACCAAAGCCATGGAAAACCACAGCAAATGACAATGGAACACACGAGTGTGGGCTGATATGCATCTACAAACAATATTCTTTATGTGCCTCTGGCTGGGCATGGCAAGGTGGGTGGGACAGGGCCCGAAGGGAAGCACCCACACCAACCACAGCCTCGTCTCTGGGGTGCTCCCGTGCTCCCCAGCTCCCGGGGCGCACCTCAGGCCCCAGCATCCCAAGTGTGGGCAAGGCCTGGAGGACCCGGTCTCCCTGTGGGCATTCCCCATGGTGTCTCCACGTGGGGCACACTCACCCGGTGGGCAAGGAAGGAGACAGGAAGGGAGCAAAGAGAAGATAATTGAAATCCACACTCATGGGGCATCTGGGGGGCTCAGTTGGTGATCCCAGGGTCCTGAGATGGAGCCCTGGGTCTGGCTCCCAGCTCAGCGGGAAGCCTGCTTCTCCCTCTCCTTCTGCCTACTGATCCCCCTGCTTGTGCTTGCTCGCTCTCTCTCTCTCCCTCTCAAATAAATAAAAATTTAAAAAAAATCTTTAGAAATAAATAAATAAATCCACGCTCATTTAACTAAGAGTTGAAAAGTCTTCAAGCAGATTGTGCAACAGGAAGATATAAGGGTTTCCAACCCTGTTCCAATTTTCCAGTCCTGGCCGCGGGTGGTGGGCCTCCAGCACAGCGTCTGTCCCTCACCAAGGGCCACCTGGTCACTGACACCTCTGCTCCAAGCCCCGCTCCTTCTGAGCTGGTCCTAATCTTCTGAAGGCTTGGGGATCGCGCCTTCCCCGGCCCAAAGCCTTGGGCCTTGCCCACTGGGTGGAGCAGGTCCCCCATCTGGCCGCAGGTCACCAGCTCCCACGAGTCCCCAGAGATGCCGTTAGCACTCCTGCCTCTCACCTTTGACGTCTGTAGTTTCTTCCCTGGATCTTTGCCTGGACCGTTTACCCATCTGTACAGCTTACTTCGCAGCTGGACTCTTAAAATAATGTCACATTCTGCGTGCTCTTTGAAGGCAAGGCGAGGGTCTATTCCTGTATGCACCGCCACAGATTACCTGGTAAAATGCCTCACATGACAGGCATTCAACGAATCACCACAGTATTTCGTTAATTTGACAAGAATAGGCTGAATAAATGAAATCAAAATAAATGTGTTGGTGATTTGATAAAGCTATTAGCCTGAGGGAAGCTGAATGTAGAGCAAAGGGAACCCCTCCACACCACTTGTCTGTAAGTCTAAAGCCATTTCCCCAAACAGTTTAAAAATCCCACCCATCAGATATGGAAATAGGTGCACACACACATAGACACGCAAAACCAGGTAGAATATTGATGAGTGTGTAATAACTGAGTGTTCCTCCATTTAAATACTTTCCTCCGGAGTCTGGACTGCTGGATGACCACCCGTAAAAATACTGGACGGACCGGCTGCTATCTGTTTTCCATTTTCATGTCCAGCCATGTACATTTTTATCTCGTTTTGGGTCAACCCATGTCCCTAAGAGTTTTTCTTTATTTCTTCTCTTTTTTTTTAAGGAAAACGTCTTACTAGCTCACCTCCTTTGTTGTTAACTCTTCCTGTCTGAAGCCCCTGAGAAAGGAATGCCAGGACGCGGGGTCCTTCCTGTCCTCACACCTCCCGAGTCCAGCCAGCCAGGGCCCCAAACAGAACAGGAAATACGGGGGAAAGTTAAATGTCTTATTTGTGTGCTTCTTGCGCATGCTGGCAGTGAGGCAGGCGGCTTATGTGGGGCTATGCAATTCCAGCACACACGGTCTTTGCTCAGGAAGGTGGATTTGAGCGACATGCCCTAATGCTGACATGAACCATGTCTTACCTGCAGCTGCGGGAAAGCAAGCTGTCGATTATTTCTTGTTTGCTTACAGGCCAATGTGCTTTGTAAAGCAGCTCGAGATCCCTCACTACGGCTACAGAAACAACGTCCCCACGACCACGCCTCGCTCCAACCTGGCCAAAGAGCTGGAGAAATATTCCAAGACCTCGTTTGAGTACAACACTTACGACAGCCATACTTATGGCAAGCGGGCCATAGCTCCCAAGGTGCAAACCAGGGATATATCCCCCAAAGGATATGATGGTAGGAGGTGCACACTCTTTAAGTGAGCGTCACGCTTGCCGTTGATAATGTTGTTGTTGTGTATATCCGTTTCCTACAAACTGGTCGAGCATGGGGTCCCTTGATGGGTACCAAAGAAAGCACACCCACAGGCTGGGCTCCCCTGTGTGCTCCCAGGTGTGGGTGAGCGGAAGCTTGCAGGACGGAGAAAGATGCCCTTCCCTCGATGCTTCCAAAGCAGCACATTCTGGCCACTTTCAGAATGTGGAGACCCAGAGCCATTGGCTCATGGGCTTCCTGCTGTGGCTGAGGCAGGTCCTTATCTTCATAAACTTCCTTTCGTGGATGGTTCCAACACAGAGCAACCTGGGGGTGCCAGAGGTAGCTCCCAGAGTTCTTGGCCATTGGAGAAACTCTGTGTTCCCTCAGAGCTCTCAACCTTGGGTGCACATTAGAGTCCTCTGGGGAGATGTTAAGCATTCTAATGCCCAGGCTGCACCCTGGACCAACTAAATTGGCCTCCCCAGGGATGCTGCCTGTACGGTGACATTATCTCATTTACCAGTGACTCGAAGGTGCACCCAAGAGCAGACAACTTCTGCTGGTGTCACCGGGCCTCCTTCCAGCAGGTGCCGGCCCTGGCCTGTTTCCCCATGGAGAGTGGGGCCAGGCAAGGCCTCCTGTGGTGACCTAGCTACCATGCATCCAATAAAAACAAAGAGCAGGTAGAACAAATAAAACACCACCTGCCTCTCAGGAAGGGGGTAGCTTACTTGCCCTCGTGGGTTCTGAGCCCTCTGCCAGCAATTCGAGGTAGCTCCCATTGCTTCCCTGTGTTAACATGGTAAGTCATTGAACGAGAGCGGGGTGACTGCATTTCTCTGATGTCACGTATTTATCTAACTGCATTTCTGCTTCAAATTCTAGGATATGTGGACTGAGTTGGCAAATTTTCCCGACTGGGATGTGGGTTGTAGAAGTTCTGATGATTTATAAGTCTTATCTTGTTGTTCTGTAGCAGAGGAGAGGAGATGGGCTTTTAAAGTTCTTTTAGCTCCTCTCTGAAAAACATAGTTAATTAAAATCATAGCACACAAAAATATTCATTTAAACTGAATGTTTGGGGAGTTCCAAAACCTCTTTACAATTCAATGTGAGTTGCTGCACATGTTTCTAAGCTATGTTAGTCATTCTTTGCCTTAATAACAATTAATATGTATAGTGAGTGAAATTTAGTATTTCTTTGACGTATCACATATTGATTATCCTTGCGTGTATCAATTCATAATATAGAGAAACAAAAATGTAAGTGGAAAAGAGAGTGGCTTAGGGTATAACAGAAAATAATTATTTTTGTTTTATTTAATCATAATTCACCAATTTCCGTTTTGTTATAATTTTATCCTTTTGATCCATTTGATTGCAAATGAAGGATCAAAAAATTGAATTCACATAATTAAGAATTCCGTTTATACAATTTCCAACTTAGCAATATCTCGCAGTGATCTAGGGAGGAGTTCCTCCTTGATTTCCTTGACCTCGTCATTATAGTTGGACTTTGGGTGAGGTCATGACCAGTAGAGCACATTTTCATGCTTGCAACACCTATTAGTGGATTCGAAGTCAAACCTACTTGGGTCTATTCTCAGCTCTTCCATTTAGGAGCTGTGTGATATTTGGCAGATTAATCTTTCTGGGTGTTACTTGCCCCCAGAACAGAGAGGTGGTAATAGTGCCCATCCTTTGGACCTCACAGAGCTGTTGTGAGGATCAGCTGACAGCTCTAAAGAGCCGGACAAGCTTGTAATTACTGGCATTCATTCCCACCCACCCTGAACATACCTGTTGTCAGAAACCTCGGCTGAGCCAAGCTCTTCAGCTGGCTCACAAGGAAACAAGAATACAGAACAAAAACTTCAATATTAGGTCTTTAAGAAACAAAACAAACAAATAAAAAAACGGAAGGAAAGGCAAACTTTTACCATAATTTACTGAGAAGAACCTCAGTGACTCCATTTCTCTCACACTAGATTCATCTAACAGACTTTGAAAACATCAAAGAAAATGCCCATTAAGGATGAGAGTGGCCAGGTCAGTTTTCTTGATAGGATGTAAGCTGAGAGCTGTCCCTGATCCCAGGCACCAGGCAGTAGACATCACAGAGCAATTGTGGTCTGTGGTTACCCTACAAGAATGTCCTCCCCAAGGCTTGCTGCAGGTACAGAGAATTGAGTCATTGCTCCTAAAGAATAACTGTGAAATGAGCCTATTGTGGGGGTGTGGGGGGGAAGCATAATGCTTGGGAGCAAGGGGCAGGGCCATGGAAATGTCCAACAGGATATAAAAGTAGGACTTTTCACCCCAGTCTTTGGATATCACACCTTAGATCCTACCACCTGTTTTCAAAAACACTCAACACACATTGATTTAAGTGCCTTCATCCTTCCAGACACTGGCTAGTTGCTGTCTTTCTGTCTGTCTGTTTATCTATCCATCCATCCATCCATCTATCCACCTGTCTACCCATCCAGCCGTCCATCAATCCATCCATCTACCCATCCACTCACCAGTCCACACATCCACCCATCCATCTATCTATCCATCCATCCACTCATTCATCTATCCATCCACCCATCCACCCATTCATCTATCCATCCATCCATCCATCCATCCATCCGTCCATCCACCTGTCCACCCATCCATCTGTCCATCTATCCATCCATCCATTCATCTATCCATCCTTCCACTCACCAGCCTACCCATCTACCTATCCATCCATCCATCCATCCACCCATCCACCCATCAATCCATCCATCAACCCATCCAACCCATCCATCTATCCATCCATCCACCCATCTGTCCACCCGTTCATCTATCCATCCATCCACCCATCCACCCATCAATCCATCCACCCATCCATCTATCCATCTATCCATCCATCCATTCATCTATCCATCCATCCACCCATCCACCCATCCATCCCTCTATCCATCCATCCATTCATCCACTGACCCATCTATCTGTTCATCCATCCATCCATCCATCCTCCTGTCCATCCACTCTATCATGTATCATCTATCTACCTCTTCTTTCCTTCTGGATGACAAGTTTTAAGGAAGAGCTAGGGAACAAATGGAAGACAGTGAAATACATACTCATGCAGAAAGTGAAGCAAGGAGTCCATTCTGGAGGAATTAGCAGGAACTTTAACAAAATGGCAAATCTCGCATTTGATCATGAGCTTGAGTAGAAATTATGCAAAGATGAAAGACCCATGGCCGGACAAGGTGCCTGAGAGCTGGGACGGGCCCTGTGGGGCAGGTGAGGAGATGGCTTTGCATCACCCACCATGCTGAGGAGCTTGAGGCACTCTCCCACAGGGCATGGAAGTCCACATGTGGGAGTAGTGAAGGAGGGAAGGTGGGAAAGGACAGGGGTTCCCAAACGTGTATGTTGGCCCTGCCTTCTCCCATGAGCACCAGGTTGGCATCTCCCCAGCCTGTTTGTTACAGTGAGCTAAGAATGGCTCTGATATGCTTAAATTGTTGGGTAGAAAAAAAGAAGAGTTTGTGACATGTAAAAATTATGTGAAGTCAAATTTCAGTGTTCATAGGTAAAGCCATATGGGGCCCCACCACCCTCATCCATTTGGTCGGTGACTTGTTTCGCACAACGGCAAAGCCCAGCGGTTGTGCCATAAAAACCTAGACTATTGTCCAGTCCTTTGCAGAAACAGCTGCCAAACCCAGGCTAAGACATCTCCACTTGCGTCTCTGGGCAATTTATCACCACCCCAAGCTTTGTCTAAACCCGTACATTCCCAGAGCTCCCATGGGCTCCCCTCGTGAGCCGCCCTCTCTGTCATTCCCAACTTCCAAATTCTCCAAGCTAAACACTTTGTAATCGGCTTTGAACGTCCTCTTTGCTCCTCAAACTCAGTACCACCCAATGTGCTCAACCTCCCATCTTCTGCCCTGGCCCCTGTCCAGGCCTGCCGGCAACGGCTCCCAGAACTGCTCAGTGGCCGTCCAGGGTGCATCCTCTGGAGCCGCGCCTCTGGCCTCCTCATCCCCGCCCCTCGCCGGCTCTCCCTGGAACGCCCACCCTCCTGCCCACACCTGCCGGTGGCTGCCCCGCCATCCAGCTGATCCCAGAGCCTCTCAGCACTGGATCCTGTCTCACCTAGGCTGGCCTGCACTCAGCAGGCTTCCTCCTAACTTCCTTCACGATGGCGCTCGTGCAGAACCAGACACCTGTTCTCGGCCCACATGCAGCTCTGGGTCTCACCCTGGGCAGTCTCATGGGTAAACAGCTTATCTTCCCACTGGACCGTAAGCTCCCGTCCTCAGATTCAAACTGCAGTGCTGACGCTGGCCGTGCAAACACTATCTGTCTGAATGAGTGAGTGGGAAGTGAAGAGTCCAGACGGGGATTTGATGCTTTAGGTCACGTGAGCACACGGTGTGCAGACCCCACCTAGCTGCATTCTCACAAGAAAGCTCCTTTTCCCAGGTAGCACGCACCACAGCACAGACCTGTGTGGGCACCATGAGGGTCGGTGAGTGAGGGTGTGAGGCCGTCCAAACCCACCCAGGTCCCCCGCGGGGTGAGCCCTCAGGATGCGTACCTCTGCACTGTGCTCTGTCTGTCTGGTTTTCATGGAAGTCTGAGCTGTAAGGACATGTTGATTTATTCCCTTATGTTAATACATAAGAAGGCGGACATTCCTAGAAGGAGACACACACATTTCAGGAGACTCTCACAAGTAGGGCAGCGTGCGAAGGCTCTGGTTGGAACGTGGTTGTTTTCATTTTTTTTAATTTGTCATATTTAGCCAGTAGAAATCCCATGGAGTCTTTCTCTGTCCTGCAAAAGGGGATAAAATCTTTGAGGAGGGGTTTACCATGTGGTATGAGGGCCACCACTGCAGCCACACGGGGTGGTGGTACTCTCTCAGAGAGGCATGACCTCCGTCTCGGCCAGGGACAGGCCAGCACCCAGAAGGACAGTGTCCAATTCTGTCTGCCGCCCGATCGGAAGGGGAAGTGCGTTTTGTCGTGGTCACTGGCCACTGATGCTGGCTCTGTGAACGTTTTACAAACTGGCGATAATTATGAGGACCTACACTCTTACTTGCATTTTGAACAAAACAAAGGAGTGCTTGCATTCCGTGAAAAGGCACAGGGGATGTGGATGCGTGTCCCACGTGCTGCCCCTGAATCAGGCTCGTCAACCAGTCACCCCCAGGTCGCTCACCTGCTAGCATTCTGCCCAGTCCTACCAACTTGGTGCCATTCAGGACTCAAACATCTGGGGAAGTAGATGCACTCTACCGAACGTTTGCTGCCATGTCCTGCTGACTCTCTTTTAGAAATTGAAATTTGCTTATTCCAAAACGAAACGGCCATTTTTGTTATTTATGTGCATTCCATTTCTTTCTTGAGCCAGCGGCTAGCCCTCACTAGGGAAAAGAACCCTCACATAAGTACTATTGCATTTCTCTCACAATTTCTGTATTCCTATTTTTGTATCAAAATTGTAAATGGTGTGAACCCACAGACTTCTGTCCATGTGGAGAGTGCCACAAGGTGCTCAGTGTGGCTCCCTGAGCCCGCGGTGCAGGTCCCGAGGGGTCACCTCCCCAGGTCTGGTCCCCCTGCATCGCTGCCTCGGCCCCACAGGACGTCTCTGTGCTCAGACCCCAGACTGCTGCCATCCACGCTGGGCCCTCTGCTGCTCAGATAGGAGCACTCACAGAAGAACGAGGAAGGAAAGGTCACGTCCCAGACAGACCAATAGGTGTGCTGGTTCGTCCTCGCGGAGAGGGACCCGGCCCACACAGACTCCTCATGCTGGGGGGTCTGTGTGCGGTTAGCCCTCTGGTCCACACAAGGGGACCTGCTTCCAATGGTCATCTGCTTGTGCAGCGGCTCAGTGACTTTTGGTGGGGGCTGTAGTGAGGCCTGGTACCAGCATCACTGTGCAGCTGGGTGGCAAAATGCAAGTCTTGGGTCCAAAGTTGAAAGTTACCAGTGATGAAAGCTTGGTTATTTGTTCACTTGTATGTGAATACGGTGCTTTGGGCAGTTTCTTGGCGTGGCTCACGATGACCGACCGTGGTGGCCATGTGAGGTCAGTTGCTCAGTTCTGCTTTGCTGGCCCCTTCCCTATGGGAGGAAAGCATTGTGCATGTCCTCCTAAGGGGGTACTTGGGTTACAGACCCCTGGCAACAGTGTTGGACACACAGGGAGAGGTGGCTAAGCTTGCTTTGGAAAGGATGTTCGAAGTTGCATGGGGGTCGTGCAAGTGGGACTCGCTGGTGGAGTCTAGGACACTGTGAGGGAGATGTGGGGGGGGTCCTTCACCCCTGGGTTCACTCTGCCTACTCCCTTCCTGGGCAGGACTCCAGGGGAGACCTGTCTGCCCGCAGGTGGACACCCTATGACTTTGCTGCCCTTGGCAATTACACAGGCCCTTAAAAATTATCCAAGTGTTTCCCACCGGTGGGCCAGAGGAGGCTTCCCAACAGCCATGAAAGCAATGTTAGCTCCCAAACACCTGTGTGCTCTGGGTGATGGAGGTGGTCACTCGTACATCCGTGAGCCCGGCTCCCTGCAAGTGTTGGCTTGTGGGACGATGTGTGACGAGCACGTGGCCATGGTGCCCCGCTTACCTGGGCTCAGCCACGCCCACGGGAGTGCGCCAGTCCTTGTCCCTGACCAGGCCACTTCCTCCACAGGGCTCTTTAGTAGAATCACAGGGTAGGGCTCTTCTTGGGGAAGGGGGTGTTCCCTCGTGCATGCCCAGCTGGAGGGACGCCTCCCAAAAGCACAGGGGCCTGTGAGGCTGCGCGACTGGCACGCAGTGACCCCCAGCTGGCCTCTGAGGCCCCTCCTGGCTGGAAGGAGCCGCCAGGCCCCGGAGGGACGAGGTCTGTGGGGTCCCCGCCGCCCACTGAGCAGATGCGCAGTCACGAGGCCAGTGCTCTAACCCCTGAGCCACGGAGCCAAGCGGATGCGCAGTCACGAGGCCAGTGCTCTAACCCCTGAGCCACGGAGCCAAGCGGATGCGCAGTCACGAGGCCAGGGCTCTAACCCCTGAGCTACGGAGCCAAGCAAATGCGCAGTCACGAGGCCAGTGCTCTAACCCCTGAGCCACGGAGCCAAGCGGATGCGCAGTCACGAGGCCAGGGCTCTAACCCCTGAGCTACAGAGCCAAGCAAATGCGCAGTCACGAGGCCAGTGCTCTAACCATGAGCCACGGAGCCAAGCGGATGCGCAGTCACGATGGGGAGAGCCGTCCGGGGCCCCGAGCAGGCTGGCGGTCCTGTCCGTTCCCAAGTCAGGCGGCCGAGTCCTCATGAGGCGTGGCCCTCAGACAGATTGGGGGTGGGCCCTCCAACACCCCGCTCGGCCGGGCGGCCAGCGCGCGCCCGCTCCCCGCCGGGACGCGCGTGTCCTGGGGCTGGTGGGCGGGCGCGGTGTGGGCGCGGGGCGCGGGCCGCGGGGCGGCGGCGCGGGGGCCCGGGTCATCGCCGTGCCCGTGTCTCCCCAGCAAAGCGGTACTGCAAGAACGCCAGCCCCAGCAGCAGCAGCACCAGCAGCTACGCGCCCAGCAGCAGCAACATGAGCTGCGGGGGTGGCAGCAGCGCGAGCAGCACGTGCAGCAAGAGCAGCTTCGACTACGCGCACGACGTGGAGGCGGCGCACATGGCCGCCACGGCCATCCTCAACCTGTCCACGCGCTGCCGCGAGATGCCGCAGAACCTGTCCACCAAGCCGCAGGACCTGTGCGCCGCGCGGGTACGCCCGGGCCCGGGGGGTGGTCCCGAGCCCACGGCCCGCAGAACCGAGCCCCCGCGCGGGCATTCGGCGGGCGCCCCCGGGCGCACCTGCCGCCGGGCCGCGAGCGCGGCTGTGCGGGGAGCGTCCCGCCCGGACGCCGGGCTTGTAGCCAGGGCTGTTGCCGGGCCTGGGGGAGAAGACGTGGGGGCCCCTGCTCCTCAGATCCAGGGTCGCTTCTGTAAACAGAGCACAGCCGGTGCCCTCGGGGAGCCTCGGAGGGCGGCTCGGACAGCAGCGGGCGCCCGGAACCCCAAGCACGAGGGGGGCGCGTGGCCCCGCTGTCGAGCAAAGTGCAGGGCGGCCCCCAGCTCCCAGCTGGTCGCTCAGTGTTGGGGAACAAAAAGTAGGAAGCCGATGTCCGCCCGACTGTCACGCCATTCTGGCCAGCTCGCGCTAGTCCAGAAACCTCAGGGGCGCTGACCCGGCGTCCGGGTCTGTGGAGGCCTCTGCCTCGCTTTTCTGTGAATGGACTCGTTGCTCCAGCGGGAGCCGGACAGCGGGTCAGAGCGGGAGGGAGCTGCCCCGCTGGGGCCGCCAGGGGGTCAGGGCCGCCGGTGGGGCGCATGGCCTGTGAGCTCAGGGGGCGTGTGGGCAGCCAGACCTGGTCCCTCACCTCCTCGCCAGAAAACAGAGGGACTGCATTTCCAGAGCTGCCTGGCCGTGGGCACCAGGAGCTCACAGCCTCACAACAAGCTCATTACTTGTTCTAAGTAATTGTAATTTGTATGAATGGAGAAAGGTCAGGCATTGTGTGCTATGCACCTGCTTTCTTTTCCATTAATATTTTTGTTCCTAGATTTTTAGAGACATGTCAGGGGCATGCAATTTCGTGGTGGTCAGGGCCGCTAAAATCCAAGGCTAGCATGGAAGAGCTTCTGTGGCAAGGGAAAAAAAGAAAGCAACCCCTTCCCATTTTTCCTTCACTTTATTAAAGCCAAGACTGAGATAATTACGTCCAACGTGACGCAGGCTAAATGAGTGTGAGAGCTTGAAAGCAGGCGTGCTCCCTGACCGGAGGAGTTCAGGCAGAATAATGCTCTGTCATGTCTCAGGCTAAGAGCCTGCGTGGGGCTTCCGTCCCCAGCAGCTGCCCTCTGCTGTTACATCCAGAGGAGGGAGCTGCTAGACATTTGGGGAGGCAGCAACTTTCACGCCAGCTCTGAGATCAAATTTTTGCTCGAGAAACTGTAACTCTCCGGGAACAGAAGTGGAGGGCCGTTCGCAGTATTTCCTGCTCTGTCCTCCATGTGTCCTTCCTTGCCTCCCTCCTCCTGAGAGGCGAGCTCTGAAGACTTCTTTATCTGTTTGAGAGTATCATTTAAAAACAAACAAACAAACAACAACAACAACAAAGTCACCCAGTACCGCTTTATTGTTTTAAGCCAGTAGGCTGAATTGCACGTTTGCTGAAGCACAGAGTAGTCAGACCGTACTCACTGCCTGAACTGTGATTGCACACCCCCCTCCCTTAAAACAGAAAACACTCTTCATCACAGGATTTCGTGTGCAAAGTGAATTCTGGCTGCTTCTCCTTCACCCTGCCGTGCCTCTGCCTTGTCTGTTCCCCCCTCTCCCCTTCTCGAAGTATCCGCATCAGTGAAACTGAAAGACGATTGTTAAGCATAAACATACATCTATCTCTGATCTCTTAAATGTTATTTGAGCTGGAATAGAGTTGAGATTAGGCACTCGTTTGATTTTCTTCTGGTGAGGCTTATTTCTAAAAGCAGGAGATGTATTGCAGAGAAAAGAAGATAAAGATGGTGGTAAATACACGGTAGATATGTGAGATGGATAGGTAAGAGACAGATGGATAGACCGATTATAGTCATCAGCAGGTGAATAGACGCATGCACCTGCCATCCAGTGTTGCGGCCAGGCACGGGCCAGCAGACATGTCCCAAAGGACCGCTTCTGCTCTCCTCGGGAGCCCATGCACGGGAGACCGCAGGAGGAATCCGCGTTTGGATTCTGCACTGGCTGAAGGCAGGGCTGCGGCTGGGGGTGGGGCTGCGTCGTTACCATGTCTTTCTGTCCAGCAGAACCCTGACATGGAGGTGGACGAGAACGGGACTCTGGACCTCAGCATGAACAAGCCACGGCCACGGGAGAGCTGCTGCCCGGTCCTGACGCCCCTGGAGCCCATGTCCCCCCAGCAGCAGGCAGTCATGGGCAGCCGGTGCTTCCAGCTGGGAGAGGACGACTGCTGGGAGCTGCCCGTGGACTACACCAAGATGAAGCCTCGCAGGGCCGACGGGGGTGACACCGCCGAGGTCCCTGTACGTCCCCTCTCGCTGCCTGCCGGCTCGGGGCATGGGGGCGGGCATCCATGGGCTCCCTTAGTATGACCTCAGCCGACGAGGGCTGACCAGGGAGAGATTTGTCACTAACGCTGATTAGGTAAAACAAACCACAGACTCTTTTCAATGATGAATTTTATTTTCTAACAAGTGTGTTTTGTTACCAGTGATTTCTCTAAGAAAATATATAGACAGCAAGCCAGTCCGTTTTCCTGGGTGACATATTGATATAAGGCATGATTCTCCTTGCAGATAGGGAATTATGACATCTTCAATACTTAAATGGTTAACTATGAGCTTTTAATTAGCTAGCCCTTTGAAGCTAAAGATAGTGTCTGTTCTCAGAGAAACCCAAAATATTCAGAAGAATGTACTCCAGCCCTGAAAAAAACCATTTTAGCACTATCACCTAAATCTTTGTTGAGCACAATATTACCAAACAACCAATGTCAAGAACATATTTTTGAAGTGAAGATCTCCCCTGTGATCCGAAAATAGAGCTTTCCTGTGGAAACCCTCCTAAGCTAAATGGTGTGATTAATTAATTTATGTAGAAAATATTTTGAGTGTTCCCAGACCCCAAAAATCACCTCTCAGGTTTTGATTTTCTGAACCTTAGGACACACCTTGCTAACGGATGCACAGATAACCTGAGACCAAGCCCAGATGCTCTCAGACACAGCGCAGAGCTCTGGAGCTCGATGCTGAGAGGCTGAGCATGGTTTCGGGGGCAGGCGCGTGGCGGGGCCGCTCCGGATGCTCAGGGTGCCCCCGTGCTCCCACAGCTTGCCGCAAAACCACAAAACCAGCACTGAACACTGTTTGTGCTTCTTGACTTTTTTTTGTAAAAGCAAAAATCCTCTTTGGGTTTCTTTCTTAGCAAAAGCAGGTCTTTCAAAAGAGCAAAGTGGCATGTGTCGTGAGCTTTCGAAAAGTGGGGGTCACCTGTAGTTACAATGTTCACATTCAAGTTGCTAAAATAGTTAAAATATCCTCTAGGCTAAGAAAAGAAAATGAAGAAAAGGTTGTTCTTTATTGTACTGGCTTTTTCTCCTGTGTTCAATTCTGAAAATTATGACACCTTCTTTATTCACTGAAAAATGAAAATCCTTTTTGAATACAATAGGGAGACCACCATCAAAGCAATAGCTTTTTACAGAAACAAGGAAGGGCAGAAAAAGGAAACATTAGCTATTTGTAGGAATTGGCAGGAAAGGCACCTGGTTATAAGGCCATTACATGTTAAAGCCTATTATCTTTATTCTTCAAATTGATTTAAGTATCCAGGCATTGCAAAAGAATAGAATCTAAGTGGCAAGGTAAATTCCAAAGTATTCTTTTCTCTCCTATAGTGTTAAGTCATTGCTACCAAATAAGGCATGGTGGTTGAGTCTCTGATTTTATTTTAATTAAAATTAAGCTCTCATAAATCGACAGAAGTATTTTCATCATACAGACTGTCCCCCAAGTCAGAAATGCTCTCCTGCCTTCAGGAGACACATCTGCTGAGTATCACCATCTATAGGAGTTCCTTAGTTACTGCACTGGGACCCACTTAACCAGAGTTGACACTTCCTATTAAAAAAGGAAATGCTGCATAAGAATAATTGAGAGCTACAACATTAAGCTCAGACGGTCTTCCCTTGCCTTGGGCCCTAAGGCACACATGCAGAATGCTCCCCGGTGGCTGGTAAAAGCCTCATTCTAAAAGGCCTCTAAGGTTCGTGGTTGAGCTTTGCAGGTCAGCGTTGGGTAAGAGTATTGTAACACCAGCAGGTGCTTCCCGGACACTGAATCAGAAAGACCAACCAAGAAACGGTGTCTCTGGTTTCCAAACCAGTTGTCTGTTCCCCTTATAGGTACCCGCACAGAAATACTGACTAAGGCCCTGCCCACTGACAGGGATGAACTTAGAAGTTTAGAACAGTTGATGAGAAACTAAGGTCCACTCTGAAAAAGATGCTCTTGGAACAGCGTCCAGCTTTGCACTTTCAGAAGGGGCTTCACCAGGACAAAGATGGGGAATGATTTTAAAGGCACAGGGTGTTGGAAGAGGAGGACAGTGCAGAGGCGGCCGGCCCTCTGGGGGCCGCGTCTGTGGTCTGTGTGGGGCGCTGTCCCCTGTGCGGCCCTGAAGCTGTGTTTTGCCTGCAGCCGGAAGACTTGGACCCATTCCAGGAGGCTCTGGAGGAGAGAAGGTACCCAGGAGAGGTGACCATCCCCAGCCCCAAGCCCAAGTACCCCCAGTGCAAGGAGAGCAAGAAGGACTTAATAACGTAAGCATACCTCGAGGTGAAACAGCTGCCCTTCCTAACCTCCCTTCCTTTGGCTTATTTTTAAAGACCGATCTGTACATGCCTTGCCGTTTGAGCATGCGACGTCCGCAGCACATAACTGTCTCGAGCTGCCGGTTCCGTGGAGCGGGGGCCCGCGTGGCTCGCTTGCTCCCAGGACGCTCTGTGTGATGGAGGCGCGTCTGCCGTATGTGGTCGTGCGTTTTGCAGCTTCCCCTCAGGGCACCTAAATCCCCTTGCAGACATTGCAGCTAAACTGGAAACAATGAAACTTTCTTGAAGGTTTTTTTTTTTTTTTTAAACATACTTACTATTTTGGCTGTTTTTGTTTTTGTTTGGTGGCAGATGTCCAACACCAAGGTGTGATGGAAGTGGTCATGTGACTGGTAATTACGCCTCACATAGAAGGTGTGACTTCATTTTTCTCATGGTGGATTCTGTCTTTTCAATTTATTGTTTTCAGCTTACCTCAACAATGCTGTCAAAGTACAAACGTCGAATTACGTGTCAACCCTCTCAGTGCTCTATGTTGACCTATAAAAGCATGCTGATGTACGTGTTGTATAGTGTCTTTTATATGCAAGGAAACTACCACGATTCGGAAAATTCCTCACCAACATTGAAACCAAAGAGTGCAAATATTTTTATGCTATTTTTCAAAAATTGTTTATTAACAGACATGTCTTCTTCAAAGAAGAGAGTTAATTATACAAAAAAAAAATTCAATATACAGCACTTGCCCCATCACTTTCTGCATTAAACTTTTTAGTTTCAGTTGTATGTTGTGTTTGTCCGGGAGCGTAAGCCGGTGGGGGCGGCACTCACCTGACTCTTCTGGCCTGTCTTACAGTCTGTCGGGCTGCCCCCTCGCCGACAGAAGCATTCGGAGCATGCTGGCCACCAGCTCGCAAGAACTCAAGTAAGATTTCATGACAATCGTTCTTCTAAAGATCTGTTCGCCTAGAGTAACAAAATGGAGGTGTCATGTGTAAACACAAGTGTCTTTAAGCAAACCCGCTGTGCACGCAGTACCTCGGCAGCCCACACGCCCGGGTCCTCGGGACGTCAGTCACCCTTCCGGACAGTCTCTCTGCCTCTTCCCTCTCCTTTGTCTCTAGCGCTTTCATGCCATAGCCTTGCGATCCTGAATTTTCTAAAGCATCAGTAGTTTCTGTCCTCATACACATGCACACGGAAGGGAAGCCGGACAGAGGTACTCAAACTTTCAGGAAGTGATTGCAGCCTAAAAAGTAAAAAAATGTATTTTTTTAGAAGTCAGTAGTTCATATGATTACTTAAAATATGGGCATTTAAATAGCATTAATGACAAAAGCTCACCACGATGACAGCTAATTCCCTAAGCATGTTGCGGTCATAGTTGCAAATACTCTAGGACAGCACCGTGTCCCGTTCACTGGCTCACTGACGGGTACAGCCAGGCACCCACCAGCACTCAGACACTCTTCCCTCCAGCCACTGGCTCTCCCGCTCTCCTGTGCCTGTAACATTTTCTATATTTTAGGCATAAATCTGATCACTTACATTTATATCACCAGACTAAGGTTTTTCTTCTTTGTATATATAGAACCACACCCAGTTCCTACACGGGTTTGGGAAGGAGTCAGAACAAGTCCTAGAAAGTGCATGAAAGCCTTCGGTGCTCTAGTCGGAGGACATATAGGGTGTGTGTCAGGGAAGAAGGGTGAGACCTGAAAGTAGTTTCACAACAGAATGAGAACCAAGAGCTCCAAATAATTATTTTTTAATTACCCGACATGTTATAAATATCATCACGTCCAACTGCTTGGCTTCCATTTCGTTTGGAAACTGCTTTATTTCCAATGTAGAAAAAGTGCTCCTTGGAGACCCTATTTGATTCCTTTCCCAAGGATTCCACCCTACATCCCATCCCACTGCAATAGACCAGGGCTGTCTCAGAGTATAGGGCTCTGTTTCACATCATGTCATTTTTTACAGGATCCCTGTCCAAGGCCCTAGTGCCATAGATCACCTGCTCATGTTCAGTGACCTCCTGAACTAGCCCTTGCATCACAAGACTCTTGGCATTTTCTTCATGGCGTGTAAACACCCGGAGGGCATCCTCTTACTTAACGGTTTTAAAGTCTATAGAGTCATCCACGCAGTGCCTAACGGACAAATAGCGTTTAGGACCTCAAAACGGACACTTAGCAAGAACAACTCAACCCACTTTGTTAAGACATCTTTTTTCATGGCTTAAAACCATACTTCCCTCATGATCAAAACGTGATTAACTGCACTTGGAACTTGGCCAACACATCAGACCGTGGCAACTTCCCTTTGAATTTCTTGATGAGGACTACTTTGCAAAAGTTTGGCACATATCCAGTTCCAACAGGCCAGCTGTAAACAAGAAATAGCCTTTGCATGACTGGTATCTAGGACGGCTTCTCCCTGGTTAGCGTCTCAACACCCCCAGAGACCAGAGTAGTTTTCTGAGGGGTCTCGTTGTTGCTGGTTTTCATCCCTTGACTCTGGGCTTAGAAGGTTATGTTGACCCGAAGTTCCGAGCAGAGCTGCCACTTCTCCGGTTCCGGCACTCTCTTCTTCTCTCCCTTCATCTTGGAAGATGGTGCGATGGTCCTCACCATCCGCATCTTCAGAGGGAGGTGGCTGGCCTTCACATCCTCCAGGGCAGTGCTGGGGAGGGGTCCATTCTCTGCATCCTGCCTCTTCCTGGATGGGAGACCTTATCTTCAGAGAGGAATGGCCTTTTCCTAATCGGGATTGATTGAAAAGCCATACTCATTTGTCAGCTTGTCTTTGCAAACAAGTAAATCCCATTTTGATTGATCCTTTCTGAGAAATCTAAACTTGACCAATTTTCTGAAATGGTCCATTGTTATTGGCAAAGCTTCGAAACTATGGGTTCCAATTAAATGTGTGCTATAAAAAGTCTAGTATTTAAATGACTGATTTTTACTTGCTAAGTCTTTCTAAACAGAGGAAACCATAGATTACAATATTTGTTTTCCTTTAACCTTTTAATTGATGAGACCCCTCTATTCAATACCTTTAACCTGAGTCATGGAGGCCTTGTAAGTGGTTTTTCCTGCATAGGAGCATAGGTTGAGCCCATGAAGCTGAGGTGCAGCTGCTTTCTCTCGAGTAATCCCACACGTGCCCTTCTCGTAGAGTGTTCTCAAAGTTTGGTCAATCCCTGCTACAGCAGCCGCTTATGTGACAGACAGAGTGAAATCACACTATTCACTGTAGGTGAAGAATCTCTACTTCTTCATAAAGACACACTAGACAGGGGGGCCCAATAACCTCCAAAAACAATCCTCTATTATGGAATTTTCTGGAAACATTCCTCTTGTCACATTTGACACTGAATTTCGATAGTTGGCCATTAGCGGGACATTCTTGATCATGGAAAGATGAGTTGTGCCAGATAAACTCTTGGTCTCAGATCCTCAAACCTCTTAAACTTCCTGAGATAACATTTTGCTCCGATCTTATCCAGGTCAACATATTTGGGATGTTCATAAAAAGAAGTGGGTAATTTTATGTCTAATGATGTACAATATGTAAACTGAAAATGTATTAAAATTTAATGTGTATATGAATGCCATTCAAACTCTGGAGCTACTGCCTTCCTGGCCCCTGGCCCATCTGCTGTAGACAACACGGTTCAGCGGCTCGTCCCGCAAAGCGGGACGCAGGGCAAGAAAGCCCATGCAGCGTGCAGACCCTTTCAGGTTGATGTGCCCTGTGTCACATACATGTCCCTGGAACCTTCCTCCCCCGTGCCCTGAGGATTCCCAGCCGTGACATTCACTGAGACCCCAGGCCAAAAAGCTAGCGGGAGGGGGAGGGGGGCGAGGGGGGAGGGGGTGGTGGATAGAATTGTTCAAATTAAAATGATTTTGTAGTAACTCTGCCTAACAAGGGCTCTGACTCTCAAGGGAAGTTTCTTCTCTAAAAATGTCGTTTGCTAAGATTACCTGAAAGGACCATCAGAAGGAGCTTGCCAGTCACCTCACATCGTTGTCATCCTCTTTTTTGAGAAACTGCATCCTCCTGCCAGGAGCTCTCCTGCTTCCAGATGCGCCATCACTGTAGACATGGGCATGATGTAGGTGCTTTAGCCATCTGAGGCTCCAATTTAAGCCAAATCAAAGCCGATTTCAATCAGAGGCAATTAGCTCTAAAAATGGGCCCCCAAATTGGCTTCCATTTATACTTTGGTTGGCCAAATTTAGATACCTCTTTATTATTCGGCTCTTTATCTTACCCAGCCGCGGTTCCTGCCACTAGTGAGCTCCGTGTGGAGAAGGAGTTGTGGAGGACTCCTCCACCTTTACTTCTTGACGTTTGAACTTGGGTGTCATCACCGCGGGGGTGGTGGGGGCCCTACGTTTTGGCTCTCTGCCCTTTAGGGAGTGTTCCTGTGGATTCTGTAGCCTCCAGGCTTCTGTCCTAGGCATTTTCACCTGAGACTTAGAGGAGTGTTAGCTTCAGATACCACAAAACTTCTTTTTTTCAGCTTGGCTACATTTATTTAAATCAAAGAATTAAAATTTTGACCTTGGACCCCGCTATTACTTTGCTCTAAGAGCTACGTGTTTCTAGAATCGGCTAGGGCTTAGTTTGCTAGGCAGCGGGAGGATTATTGACCAGGATCTCCTGGAGCCGGCTCACCCTGCCGCCTCTATTGTTCTCCGGGCAGGAAGTTCACCCACGTCTACCGCGCACCAGTTCTTACCCGTAATCCTCATTTCTATAATCTCTCGCCTTCTCGGTTTACAACAGTAAATCCACAGGCCTTGCTAAATGACAGCCGCCCTCGACTTGGGCCTGGCTCCTTTAGTGGAGGGCACGCTTCCTTATCTGGGGGAGCAGCAACCGCCGTGGGAGTCCAGCTTCTCGGGAGGGTGGTCGTCTCCCGCCTCAGAGAATGCTCCCGGGACCCCTCGTTTCCGTTCCCAAGCTCATTTTGTTCTGCAGCAGTCCCAGCTGCTGAGAACTCGGGTGTGTGAGCTGGAATACATGTGGCTGGGAAGCAGGTGCGGGAGTCACTCGGGGTGGGGGGGTAAAGGCAGTTCACAAGGGGCCTCCGCACACACTGTCTCCTCGGAGAGAAGCGTGGGAAGGGTTAGGCCCATTTTCCGGGTGTGGACACTGAGGGATGGGTGGTTGGGCGGCTCAGCGTAGACCTACAGGCCATCAGGGGCTGAGGGCCTTCTCCACACACCACAGTACCTCCACAGATCAGTAGTGCCATGGGCGAGCCTGGTGCTGGAGATTGGGAGGCGCGGTGTTGCCGGCAGGCAGACACACAGCAGCTCTCCCATTCTCCCAGGATGCAGTGTTTGCTCACAGCCCACCCGGGCCTGTGCTGGCAACCGGCCGGGGACCGCTAGCCCACATCCCACAACCCCCCCCAGAGAACCTACCTCAGCACTTAGGGTGCAACAACCATAGGAGGTTTATGAGGTCTGCGCCACAGAGTGTTTTTAAAATACCCTAAGAAATACATTTTGTTGCACATAGATTTTTTATTTTATCATAATAAGTAGAACTGATTTAAAATAAGTTAAATATAAGAAATACAGGTAAGCAGAGTAAAGCTAAACTTCTAAAATGAGAATGTTTGAGGATGACTCCAGTCAACATACAAGCACACAACACACATGGATGAACATACACACAGATGAACACAGAGACAGATGAACGTAACACACACAAGGATGAACACACACTGATGTACATACACACATGGATGAACATGCACACCGATGAGCATGCACATGGATGAAAACACATGGACACACACATGGATGAACATACATGCAGATAAACACACATGGGTGAACACACATGGATAACACATGTGCATAAACACACACTGGTGAACATACACTACGTGGATGAACT